GAGATGATGGATCACAAACCAAGGAACGATACAAGGTCTTTGAAGATGTTACTAAGAGGCTGCATTAGCCCCAAATCCTTCTTGTTGGCCCTTATTTTTATGTGAACTAAATACAGTGTCAATCGTGACTATCTCTATGAATTGTACGCTCTGTAACTTGCACCTGAATATAATCCCACCTGCAGGAAGATGTGTAGAGTCATTTCAAGAGAGCAAAGTTGACAACGCAGTTTTTCAAGCAATTAACTAAAGAAACAATCCGAACAAAACTTTTATAATGTCAACAATCTTGATCATATGGCAAGTGCCAATTTGGCCTTGTTGAGGAAGGACAAGGTTGCCAAAATTACTGAAACAATTAAGTCATTGCTTTCCTCTCCTTTGCTTCTGGAGCCCGAGCTGAAGGCATCAGAAAGGGGGGGCTGCCCAAGGAACTTGCCATGTGGACTTTAAACCCGCATGTTGCAATTTAATGAAAGAACATCAGAACGGTTTAAAAAAATATATTGGTAAAGCTCAGATAGAAACCCACTAACATCATGGATAATAAATTTCTGAACATTACTGTTGAACAAGCAAAATATCGCTAATACATCATCCAAAAGAAAAATCATTTTTATAATTTAATAGAAAGGCAACTCTTGATTCAATGACCTACATCAAGTAGGTCAAATTAAGCACAGGGTCATTTTAGATCAGAAGTGCAAATGAAAGCGCTTTCAGATTATTTTACGACATACACACATTCCCTAGGAGAACAATTAAAAAGTGCTAATTCCTGGTCACTTCAGCAGGAATAGCTTTATTTTCTGATCAAGTCCAGGTTATCACTGTTAATTGAAAATCTTGCTTTTGCACTAAATCGTGTGGCTGTAACTGAAGAGTTCAGCTCCTTTCTTTGAAATTAATTTCATGCAGAATGAAGAAAGGAACACCAGGAGAGTAGAAAGAAATCATTTTTGGTTCAACCGGTATTTTCTCTTTTTTTTCTAAGAAGAGATTAAACAATTTTAAAGAAAGGATGCAGGATGAAGCACTCTGGTCAAGTACCAGAGAATTTAATGGGATTTTGATTTTATTGATAAAACACCTTTCGTTCAAAGACAATTAAAGCACACCTCTTGTAGGATTTGGCACATACTGCTCTATGTTATGTCTGTGAGCCAGTTAAAGGGCAGAAGTAACTCTCCAGATCGTTCCAGGAGAAAATAAATAGCTCTCAGATCTCTAAATAGCCAGAAGTGTGTGCAGAATATTCTCAGTATTTCTCTGCCAATCCTGAAACCAAAGTAAAAACGAACAATTTCAGCCTACCAGGTACAACTTGTCTCATCATCTGGCAGACCAGTTGATCAACAAATACTCCTTTTCATAGTGTGAGGGATGTATTTGGCTAGTACCCGAGGGGGACAAATACGTACACGACCCCTTACTGGAGTCTTAACAGCGAGGCTTCTACTTCAAGGGGGCGGGTAAGAACGCACGTGCGGTGGGAGACCCCAGAGCACCAGGGAGCAGAGGTGGAGAGGGAGAACCATGACCAGGGCCCTCCTTGTATGGCTGGTCGAAGACGCCTTGTCTTAGTCAGCTTGGGCCACCATAACAGAACACCACAGAAGGGCCGCTTAAACCACAGACAGTTCTCACACCTCTGGAGGCCACAGGTCCAAGATCAAGCTGCTGGCATGGCCAGGTTCTGGGGGGAGATGTCTTCCTGACTTGCAGACCACCGCCTTCTCACTGTGTCTTCACATGAAGTGCTGTTGTCTCTTCCTCTTCTTACCAGGACACCAGTCTTATGGGATCAGGGCTCCACCCTGATGACCTTGTTTAACCTCAGTTACCTCCTTAGAGAGCCCATCTGCAAATACAGTCATGCTGGGAGTCAGGGCTGCAACAGGTACATTTGTGAGGGACATAATTCAATCCACAGCAGTCCCATGGGCTGGAGGAGGCCCGAGCTGGGCTGCATGATGGTGAGGCTGGGACACCTCCTTTGCAGGTACACGGCCCAGGCCCTTGAGAGGCCACAACTGTCACCTGGCGGGGTGTAAATCCATCAAAATCTGATTTCCACTGGCCCCACCCCCAGAATTTGTTCTCGTGCCCTCGACAGGCCTTTGCTTTCCGTCCAAACAATTAAAAGTGACCCCCAAAATGATAAAATAGATGGGAGTTAGAATCTCTGTCTTCACACACACGTGATTTCCAAAGACGGCACAGTTAGCTAAAAGCTACTAGAAATGACGTTTCTGTTGTCGTTCTTTATTATCTGATGGCTCCACATAAGAGATCTCCTACAGAGGCTGACGTCCACACCGAAGACAGAGGAATTCTTCCCCTCAGCTCCCTGCCGCCATAACACGCTCAGAAGAGCAGGGATTCGGGCGTGTTTGCTCATGGTGTAACCCTAGCTCTTAGCATGTAGCCCCTGGCACTCAGCTCCTGCACTCCGGTTCGCGGGATGGATGATGGGCTGCACCACAGCGGGTGCGTTCCTGAGCACCTTCTGATTCTTGTCACCTAAGAAGAGCATCGTCTGCCCTTACATGTAAAATGGCTTTGCATGTTGAGTTAAAATGGATGTGTGCAGGCAGCTCTTGGCCCATCGTGGTCAACAGGGAAACACCAGTGCTCAGATACTCATTGAGTAAAATAAGAGAGAAATGAGTCAGTGGGATTTGAATACCCTGAGACAAGTGGGAAAGACTTTTCTGAGAAAAATGACATTTTCGAAGCAGCATTTAAAGACCCATCTGGCCGTCATGTGAAGCATTCACGAGAATTGGAGGGAGGCGTGTGGTCCAAGGAAGAAGTTGGAAGTACAGATGGGCCTGACATAGGGAGGGCCAAAAATAGGACCGTGGCCGTGGGGACGGACAGGCGGGGAAGGACCGATCTGAGGGTCACTGGGAAGGCAAAGGCTCTTTAGGTCTTCAGAAGGGGGAAGTGGTGGGGTCAGGAAGGGAAGAGAATGTGCTCTGGGGACCTCAGGCTTATGGGTTTGGGAGAGAGAGGTCACCATTCACTGGAGGAGAGGAGTTAGGGCTTACCTGCCGCCTTGGCGGTTCCCATCACAGAAAGTCCGATTTCTAGAGGCTTCTACCGCTTGCTGAGGCCACTTAGCACAGAGAGGGTTAAGAGGGGGGGATGGGGCAAATAAGGCAGAGGAGGGAGTCCGGACTCCATCTGGACGGACCAGGCACCAGGACATGACCCATTCTGTGCTGCCTTATAGGTCAGGCCCTGAGAATCTGGAGGAGGAGAGACCTACACAGGCCAGCACGGTCCCTGAGCCCTGCCCTGACTTCTGTTCTGAACAGCCAACTGGGGCTGCACCAGCCTCCTGGGCTGTGCTTCGACATTCCCTTCTAAACAACTTTCAAACCCATTTATTTATCCCTTTGGGTTAAAAGGACCTCTTGTCTGAAAGCAGATCAAAGTAGTGTTGTCCAATTTATAAAACAGATCAATGAGGGAGGGGGAGTTGGCACATGCGGCATCGCACCCCCCAGGCTAGCTCTTACCCTCCCAGCAGACCAACTTGATGCCTCCGCAGATTCTCAGATTCCCAAATGCAGGACCATACCATTGTCGTCTGTTCACAAGGAAAGAGAGAAATACAACACGACAGATCTCCTCTGGGCCCTGAAGTATTTGAGATTACCCCCACCCTGACCCCCCCAACCCAATATTTAGATCGAGTTCATTGGGAGAATTAATTGCAAAACATAGGAAGTAACTTCAAAAAAAGCGTGGATTTCCGGGGACTAAAAATTCCAATAGCCTTTTATTAGGAAGCCAAAAGGAGGAAAGAACCACTAATAAAAATGCTTGTTAGGAGAGCCCATATGGACATCCTGCAACAAGATCTCTGTCCCCTGGGCAGACATTTGGAACTGCTCTTCCAGGCAAGGCAGTGAGCTTTGCTGTGACCCAACAGTTCACTTTTGCACAGTGGTTGGCCAACATTCTGGAATGTAGTCTATGGCTATTCAATGAATTCTTTCCTCTGAGCAAACAAACTGGCTCTAGAGGTACTGTACACACGGTCACTTATTCCCATTAGCAACCCCAAACAAGCAAACGGCCTTACCCAAACAGTAGAAAAGGCTAGGTTATTTTTAAATGTGCTCAATTTAACGTGTTTCACAATTTGTGATTTCCCAACCACAAAAAGAATTGTACAACTGTTAAAATTACACTAGAATTCAGAAGAAGGCATACCAACTAGGGGAAGAGACAACAGAGGGCAATTCACACGTTATAAATGAATGAAAATAACAAAATCCTATTTAGAGGGTCTACTTCCATTTTTGTAAAGTCCTAGTAAAATCTAGTCGAGGAAGAAGAGTTACGAGTTTGGGCGAGGAATGCACTCCTTCTCCCAATGTTTTTCTCCCAACAGGCTTCTTGTGTTTTTTAAAATAAGTATGCTCCAAACTAACTTTGAGGAATGTGTTTGTAAAGGCAGCCTTGATTATAAAGCCCAGGAGATTACAGCAAGTTTGCAGGGAGGAGGAGGGTTCTTGGTTTCCCAGGATGGCAGTGCCTGCTGAGTTGGTTCAAGTCAACAAGACACGGCTGGAAATCCCACAGTCCCCAGTCCCGGTACAATTGTGGCTTCCCTAGATACAGAGGGGGCCATCCAGTGTGCTCGCGCACAGATATCCCACCCAGATGTCCAGCATTGCCAGTAAAAACATATCTGGTGGGAAATAAAAAGAAACTTTGCTTTAAGTCCACATTTTTATTTTCAATGTTCAATCATCTTTACACCTGATTTCCACAAGCTTTCCATGAGCTCGCTTCTGAATATTGTCCGAAATCAGCAGTCCTCACGTAGTCAAGGTTAGAAATGGACCTGGCTTTTAACATCTGACAGGATTTCGTAATAAAATTTCCCTTTCAATAGACCTGATAACCAAGGAGCCAATGTCACAGTCAGCCTGGCTTTAAAAAAGACTCACCACGCATTACCTGGAGGAAACATCACTTACCTGGGAGATAGTCATTTCTCACACAGTCCCTTTCATCTGTAAATGAGGAAATGAGTCAGCTTTACTAAGTGTTACCTCATCATTGGTGTTGTGTTATTCAGCAGGACTAGGAACACATTTTGTTACTCACACAGGCTTGGTTTCACCAAGCGTCCAGGTCTTGTTACCTCGTCTTCAAACAACTCCACGTTCTGTTAGAGATCTTAACTGTCTTTCTGATTGGAAAAGCGCCCGGCCGGTCACAAGATTCATGACTCATTGCAACTGCTCAACTTTAGCTAAGCACAGAGCTGAAAGAACAAAATCAGCTCTGTGATGTCATCCCTTCTCTATGTATCTTTAACATAGTTTAGATACAGAGGTTGTTGAGTAAGGCACAAAGCTTTCAAATGAGAAGAATGTGTCTCAAATGCTTAGGAGAGCAAACATTCTGGGGTTATGTTTGATTACAAACACGGAGACCTGCTCCAGGAATCTGGGTGTGTGGTCTTGGCTGATAGAAAGTATTCTGCCTGGTCTGCTACCTAGTCACCTGGGCTGGTCAAAGTTTAACCCAACTGAAATGTGTGGGTCTTCAATAACCATTCTGTCGTCAGAACAGACTGAGACGCGTCCTCATTTAGGATTATTTGAAACCTTCAAAACATAATGAGAGTTCCTAAATGTGTCTCAAAATCAAGGAAAATACAAAGTGTCTGAAAGTTTGGGGATTGTCAGTTACTTCTCTTTTCTTCTCTTCATTTACAATTATTTAATGAGCAGGCATTGCTTTTATAGTGACAAAAATTCAGTGGAAAGAAATGTTTCCAGCTTCCTCAGAGTTCACTTCGTAAGATAAAAAAAAAAAAAAAACCCAAAAGCCAAAACAAACGGAGTTAAATAAATTGACAGCTACCTCATATCTTGTTGATACCTTTCACGATGATGTTAGTAAAACTGCATGACCCAAAATGAGATCACTGTTTACCTAGCTACACTACGGGTCCCAGCAGAGCCCTCAGCTATTGTAATGCCAGGAGCAATCTCTTCTGAGAACTTGAACCACTCCTTTTGGTAAAAGCCAGCCAAGACAGATGAAGTATTTTTAATTAAGCTGATGATACCACTTCCTCGGGATGGCTTCAGTGGAAAATTAGAGAACAAAAGCAGGGCAAAGAACGTTGCATTTGGGAAAGGTTTGGTATCATGTGAAAAGTTAAGTTTCTTTCAAATTTAGCACATCATTGTTTAGCTTCCTTTTTTCCCCCCAGCATTGTCTGTCTGCTGGGGGGAGGTCCTGTGAAAATACAGAAGCTTTGTCAGACTCTAAAGAGGAAGTCAAGTATTGTGATAAGATGGCATATCACGTTCCTTGACCCCCAACGCATACAGCTTGTTTTTGAAGAAACTTGCTTCCCTAGCCATGGTGCCGCTGGTTTCATGAAGGTTGTAGGGTTAAAACCTATATGCCTGTCACTGAACTGTTCTTGAAAATATCACTTATGTGAGAACCTTTCAACGCTTAATTCTGCAGATGACAAGGCTGGTGTCCGGAACTCTGGATGTCTGTGCCCACATCTGGGGTTCTCCTGGCCATGCGCCTCCCTGCTGGGAGTGCCCGTGCGGTGCCTCATCTCACGGTGATTGTCCTCCCTGTGTCCATGGCCTAGTATTGATCATTTTAACCTCGAGTGATCACTAGGAGATATATCTCATCAGAACCAAAGACTGACATCTTTAAAGGCCAGAACCAAATTTACAGACAGTAACAAAAATAAATATATGGACCCCAAAAAGTGATTCTTAAATAGATTGTTTCCTCTGGATGTCCTTCTAGACAGGTTTCAATAGTTAATAATGACCAGATAACATATGTTCTTCAATGATTTGGATTACTCTGAAAAACTAGAAAAGTGGTGCCGCGCCTCTCTTATCGAAACTTATCTTCTCCTTGGAAAAACTTTGTTTTAAGGGTGAAACTGACAATGTGACTTTATTTTTTCTCGCATCTTGTTTAAAATTTCTCTCTTATGCCAGGCTCACATACCAAGATTTTCCCCACAACGTCACGATTCACGTCTTATTTTAGCCGGGCTGCAAAAGGACTGCATCAGTCAGAAGTGCTCCTCTCCTTTAGATGCTGAGAAATCTTGGACACCCCAACCACGTGGGGCTGCCCCTACTCCCTCACACTCTGAAGTCAGGCGTGCACACCAAGTATCCTTATCTTCACCGAGGCAGGTGATACACTCATTCGAACCAGAGAAGCTCCCAAGTGCATTACCATTTCAACCAGGAGATGGCGGAGAGAAGTACAGGACCCTCACACACGGAAGCAGGAATCCCTCCCACAGCTTCCTCTGCCCCTTGAACAAACACATACATACTTTCTGAATCAAAATAAAATTATTGATCTGAGACATGACTTTTCCAGATTAGTAATTTTACATATATATGAAATGGCTTACACAGTTATAAAATTTAAATGACATGTACTATGTTTTCAATAATTTGATTCCAGCAAATTGGAAACCCATTCCAATTTGTAAACCAGGTGAAAGTAAAGTAAACCAGGTGAAAGACAGTGATCTTGTAGAAAACATAAAATTCCTTGTGGCAACAGTAGCCAGTAAAACTGGATGGCCAAGAAGAGGGAACGTGATTGTCGTCACGGCGACATTCCTCTGGTTTTATTGCCCCTCAGTAAAACCATACCTATGACACAATCCCAGCTGAAACTTTCTCCCTGGTCCCTGGCCTCTCCCACCAGCATCTTTCCCTTGACAAGTGCTGGTATTTTTAGTTGTTCAATAAAAGTAGGTGCAAGATATTGAAATATTTTGCTCAGTTTTTGTTTATTGCCTAAATAAAAGCAAGATATTGAAGATTTATATATACATAATTATATACACGCATTTAGCTGACATTTTGGGTCACATTCTCAAAGTATTTGGTATGCCAATTATATGAATGAGTGAGAATTAAAAAAAAAAAAAATGAGAGAAAAGAAAAAGAGATTCACTCCCCAAACAAGTAAAAAGAGAGGTTAATGGCTACAGGGAATTCCAGTTAACAAATACTCAAAAAATTAAATCACTATTTCATAAAAGCTACTGATATAGTTCATTTCTACTCAGTAGGAAATTGTTTGATTCAGTAAATTTGAAGTGATATTACCTAGAATCTCTATGGCAAATTTTCTAGATTCAGGCCACCTTATATTTTTTATTATCATTGTTTTGGTTAGTATGGAACAGAGAAAAGTTTATATATATATATATATATACACACACACACATATATTTATTATTATGTTAATACTGTATTAATATTATATTTAACAATATATAATTTAGTATACAAATATATACTTACTACATGTATTTTATGATATATAAAACATATGTAAAGTTATATCTACCTTATATTATATATATATTACCCATAGTTACAGTTATAGACAGTTACATAGTCACACACACATATACACATAGAGAGATGTCGGGTTCTTCTCCCTGTCGAGTTAAAGATAGTAGCATAACTATCATTCTGTATTTCAAGAAACACCATTCTGTCGTGCTATGACACCAGTTAAATATTGTGTAATTATTTTTTCAGTAGACTTGAGACATCTGACGATTATTGATCTCTTTCCAAATATTTTAACATCAAGATCAAACAGATCTGCGGAGAAGCAATGATCCAATTTCGGTCTGATATAGGGCTGACTCTTACCCCGTCATTTTGATATTACATCAGAAAGTTGACCCCAAGCAACACTGTACGTTTTTGGTTTTTGGAGCAGTTGGAGCTCATATAACTAAGGACTCTGAGTTTCCTATAAATTAGAACCCAGGTGAAGAAATAACCAAGACAAGAACAATCAGTGTCTTCATGTAGTTACTCCCAAGCAATGATTGTGTGCAGTTTCATACCCAGGGCAGAGAAGGTCCAAATTTATGAATCAATTGGGAGTTATAGAAAGTTAAGTTACAGAAAACACGGTTTTCTACACCTCACCTTCTTATGAAGTTTCTTAGTGGGGTTAAAAAATATTGATATTAGGGGTGCCTGGGTGGCGGAGTCAGTTAAGCATTTGACTCTGGGTTTTGGCTCAGGTCGTGATCTCAGAGTCCTGGGATTAAGTGTCGGGCTCCACGCTCAGCATGGAGTCTGCTCAAGATTCTCTCCCTCTCCCTCTGCCCCTCCCATTCCTGCTTGCTCTCACTCTCAAATAAAGAAATCGTTTTAAAAATTGATATGAATAAATACAGTACATGAGGTAGATTTGTCCTAGAACTCATGACATCCATGAAACTGAGTTATCCAGTCACATGGCTGGCTTAACAATCATTAGTTCGTGTTGAAATAACACACTCACCATGTTCCATTTCTAATTAAAAAAAAAGATCTTATTTGACATTTGATCTATCTAATAACTACATCTGGTGAGGATATTATGACACTGCTGAAGAATTTTAGTGCCATCACACACCTTAAAGCAATCTAGTATTCCATCACTGGGGTAGAGGCTCTAAACTGAAGATTCTTGGTTATGTGAAGAACTAGCCCAGTTTTTAAAAAGGAAATAGATTGATAGTCTATTTGGGCAGCCATGTCATCTCAGATACAAATCCAGGGCAGCCAATGGTGGTAAAGCAGGGGCAATGAGGGGGAAGAGGGTGAAGCCATGGCCAAACTGAATGCCCTGGGCATGAGCGCAGCCTTCATTCATGAGTTTATCAAGAGAGACATCCTCAGGTGACTTAGAACCTCCAGTACTTAAATATTCTTCATATGTAAGTAGTCTGCTTGAAGGGTTAATTGAAGAATCTGATTTGACAAACTCAGACTGCATATGCGAATTTCAGTGGGAAATCGAGTGTCATATAAGGAGGTAATTCTCTTCCATAGGGACTTATAAAAATGAAATACCTGGTTCTTTCAAGTTTTGGCCATATTTGATCTGAATTAAGCTAAAATCTTTCTATGTTACAAAAAGTTAGATGAGCAGATAAAGGAATCTATCTTAGAAGCATCACTCTATGAGAACGTGAACTGAAGAGTTAACACTGGCCAGTAAATACTGGGTTATGTAATTCAAAAACCCTGCTGATTAGCACAGGCCCATCTCACCCAACAAGAAAATAAGTGACCGGAAGGAAGAAGAAATTTTGATAATAATGAAAATATTATTTAAAATTTTTCAGATTGCTGGGCGCCTGGGTGGCTCAGTTGGTTCAGCAACTGCCTTTGGCTCAGGTCATGAT